CACAGTCACACCATTGAGGGTTGAATAAGCTTGTCATTGGTTAATTTTCAACTCAAAATTAGTTGGCATAGAATTTCAAGAATTCTTTTAGTATGGGCTTCTGGGCCCAAATGTCGGATAAATCCAATAACAAGATTTTCAAGACAAAATCAGGATGGGGAAATATTGTCTTTCAGAGGCCTTAGTCCATTCTAGAATCCTATAAATAACAACCAACATAATTACATAAAGTATGCATTTATTACGTGTAAGTACTTTTATGGGAAAAAGGGATTATATAGGCTTCTCTATAAACTAAATTTTATATTCTGAATGTGTGTCAGAAGCTAGTCCAAGCTTATCTTTAATCAATTTTTTTATGACATCAAGTTAGTCAATTTTGAACAAATTATTATATGAGCTGAGTCCATTTTAGACACATCAAATTGGTTCATATAACATATTTCAATGTCAAGTGTGGTTAAAGCTTTAAGAAGATTAATAGAAAGGTACCAGAGGATGGTGTACACATTTTATAAATTAGAAGGGAAAAAAAGCTAGCTTCTTATGAGGGTTTTTCAGTTGCAATTAGATTTAATATTATTTAGCAGTGAGAAAGTTATAAGAAAGTTATTCAAGTGAGTGAGTCTAAGTCCCACTAAATTGAATTCATCTCTTATTACTTGGTCTCTATATACTAACAGGTGCAGTATCCCATTCTTTTAGCTTAATTCATTCGTACTCTATTTTACTCTCAAGTACTCACTTGAACATTGATAAAGTTTTGGTGGTCTCAATACGAGAGAAGCTAGGACGTCTCCTTCAAATCCCGTTAATAACACATGCCATGATGCGTTTAGACTACCATGGTGTTACTCGTATAGTAGATGAATTCATGGTTAAAAATTATGGCATTTACATGATGATTCATGTCTTTGGGATATTATTATTATAATACAACTGTACTGAGAAAAGAGAGAATGTCATTATAGAAAGGACACAGACAGAAACACAAATGGGGCAACAAAAAGATTTTGAAAGCATGGTTAAATTAAATTTGGCAAACGCTCTTAACTTATAAATCTTTAAGTTTTTATCCAGCTGATGAAGCTGTCTAGATTTTTGTTTGACAAACCACCTTGTCCAGTGCCAATTTGAACCTTCTCCTTGAAATCTCCAGCCCTTGCTTTCAATTGTTCATCATTCAAAATTTGCTGGATTTTGATTTTGATTTCACCTTCTGTGATCATGCCACTTCCATTTGGTTCCAGCCTCAATCCTACCTTCCAAACATCACAAACATAACTCCTATTTAAGAACTGATCAGCAAAGTAAGGCCAACACAAGACTGGGATCCCATTGCTGACACTTTCCAGTATGGAGTTCCAACCACAGTGGCTTATGAAGCAAGCAACTGAAGGATGTCTCAGAATTTTCTGCTGTGGTGACCAACCCACCATTCTTCCACGGTCCGCTACCCTTTCTACAAATCCTTCTGGATATGCAATTTTTGACCCTTCTGGTTGCACAACCCAAAGGAAAGGTCTATTGGAAAGTTCAAGGGCTAAACACAGTTCTTGGAACTGGGCAGTACTAAAAGTTGTAAAGCTCCCAAATGCAACATATATTACTGAACATGGTAATTGTTGATCTAGCCATTTCAAACAAGTAAGGTCTTGTGGCCAGAAATTGCCTAAGGAGTGACCAAACTGATTGCATGACAAAAGTGGCCCTATAGGTAAGATTTCTGGAGCCATAGAAAATGCTGCAGGCTCAAGTTCATTAGTTGAATTGCAAAGCAACCACTCAGTTTTCTTCATGGAGTTTATGTTTTTCACCATGAGTTGGAAAATATGCTTCTGAGTAGTCTTGTTCCCCACACAAACCCAGACAAGCTTTTCTGTACTTACACTTGGCATTGTAGGGGATAGTTGAATGACCTTTTTATTAATTGGATTTCCTGCATTGTTTAAATGTTGAGAAAGACATAAATGCTAATGAATATCAACTATCTTGATTGTTGTTTTCATTTCAGGAGTTATGAGAAAATTTATATGCTAAGGAATGCCTAATTGCTAATTTAACATAGTGCCAATTTATGAAGTTCACAAGTGTTCGAAATTTCTTCATAAATAAAGGATTGTTAGATATAAGTAATCTTGTTCAAGCATGAGTTATAAAGATGCAAGTAAAGTAGCTGTAAGGAATTATAGGTTCATAATTATTTGTCATCCACTTTTGAAAGATGTCACTTCTCTCCACTGTATATAGAAGGGAACTTGTAAAGAGATGTCTTGTATCAAAACAGACATAGTAATTATACTTTCAATGCACTAAACTAAGAAATATAATATTGTTGTTTTAGAAGTATAGCTACTTTTGAACTCATTCATCTTTAATCAAAACATACACTAAGACGGTTTGAATTAGAAAATTATGTTGAATAACTTGTTTTTTGTCGTTAGTGTCATTGTAAAAGTAAAAGAGTAAACATTAAAAGCAATGCTTTGTTGTTTCCTTCTGCTACAAAGAATCAGAGAAGTATGAACTGACCATCTTTGTCTATGATCCCATTATCAATCAAGTGAGGGATGCTCAATCCCAACACCAATTGTGCTGCTGATGCAGGACAGAAAGCTGCTCTTCTAATTCCCTTCTTTTCTGCAATATCAAGTGCCCATCCAATGCTCTGATCAGCAAGCACACATGTTATCTTCTCACTTTCTGATCCATTGATGCATTCAATTAGTTCCTCAACTTTCTCTGGCATAACCTTCAACACTGTCCCCGAAGATTTTCCTGGCCTTTTCCTCTCCTCTGAGGATTCCAATCCATCAGATATCCACACTAGACAAATTTGAGATTGTAAGCCATCCCCACATGGAGATGCACTCATGATCCTATCATGGTTTTCTTTGGTGTTCACAAATGTTATTTTGATACCTTGTTTGACTAAGAGCAGTGAAAGCTCCATTAGAGGAATCACATGCCCTTGTGCTGGGTAAGGCACGACCATTACATGTGGCCTTGCCATCCTTATTGTTATTCCTTGCTATGCAGATTCTCTATGTTCTTATATACTATTGTGAAACTTGAAGTTAATGTCAAGATTTTGAAAACCTTGGATGAAGAAGAATTTGATTCTAGTATTGTCTACAACTACTTGTCTTCGTATCCATTGCTTGTCTTCATATCCATTGCATGAACATTATGTAGGGAGTGGTACCCACAGTTGTGATGCCTCCATAAAAGAAGTTAGATATATAGGACAAATATTTCATATAATGACATTGAACAGCGTTATGGAAGTATCTATATCATTATCTAATCTTAAAAAATGGTTATGAAAGGTTCCAAAATGTTAATCTTAAATAAAACTATCCCCTCTAATAAATAGAATAGAGAATCAATTTCCTTCTTCATGATTGAGGATTTGGTGAAGTCATATAATAAAGAATGATTTATTTCATTGATGGTGGTGGTAATGATACTATATAGAGATGACTATAAGACTAGTTAATAATATAATACAAAATGAATATTTAAAATAATTTTAAATAAGAAAGAGGTGAATATCAATATGGATGTTAATTTAAAATTAATATACATGTAGTAAGTAGAAAATGAATATCAATTTATTTAAGTTCATTTATTAATATAAATATTTATGCATAACATGTTTTGAATTATAATTTTATTCGAGTTTATAGTTTATATATATTATTTTATAGATAATTATTTGAATATTTTTATTTTTAAAACAATGATAATTATTATATGCTTATATTAGGAAATGATTTTTTTAGATGATCAAATTAGCTAAAAATTTGTAAAGTACCCTAAATATAAATTAATACCAACTATTTTTATATATGTACATAACTTTATAATATAATATTTAAAAAAATATATAAATTTGTCATTGATATATGTCATGAAGATTTAAAATTCTAACTTAGTGGTAAAATTTGAAAGAAGAAAGGGGGGACCATCTTAATTATTAAAGTATCGTCAAGTTGGCACGGTGTTTCATTTCTTTTAATTTAATCATATATAAACTATAATGAGCATGATAAAAAATTGTTTTGCAGTACAATTTTGTTGTCCATAAAATAAGATAAACAAATGGTCCATTTCATGGATAGAAAAAATAAAATAAAAAGTGGTATAATTTAAAGTGAAATAATTATTATAATTTATATATTTTTAACAAATAAAAATAAAAATAAAATAAATATATTTAAAGAATATAAAGAAAAAATAAAATAAAAATTTAAAATAGTATTTTAAAAGAAATTAATTATTAAAAAAATAACACGCTTTAATGTCTATGTTTTTAGTAATATAGATAAAATAAGTGATAAACAAAATATTACAAAAAATTATTATATATATAATTTCTTTAATACTAAGAATTTTAAGGTATAGATTTTTGAAATTCATGATTAATTTAGTGTTATGTTTTAGGTTTTAGAAATTAATTTTTAAAAATAAGTTAAAAGAATATCATTTAATAATTTTATTATATATTTTTTAAAGAAAAAACATAAATTATCATGATTTAAAATATATTTTTTAATGATTTTTTATAATATAAATAGTAATTAACTTAGTTATTGATAAAAATATTAATACATAAAATATTAAAATTTATAATTATTTTAAAAATTATATATTTAATTGAAGAGAATTTTTTATATATTTTAGTAGCAAAAGATGATTTAATAGAAATTTTCGAGAAATAAAATATTCTAGTGAGACTCAAGTTTTATTTATAAATATTTTTCTTAATTTTATATTATATTATATTTTATTTATAATAAAGTATTAATTAAGAAACTATATTACATTTTATCAAGAGCAATAAAGGTTTTACTAAAACGGCGTAGTATTCATGTCTAAAACCCATGGCAAAATTGAGAACCGTTAAACCCTAGCTGCTACTACTTTTTCTTCCTCTTTTCTTGGCTCGTGCTTCCTCGACTTCCCCTTGGAGAAGAAAGAGTGTAAGAGGAAACTAGATGAATATGGACGAAGAAAACGGCGAAGGAAGTACGAAGAGGATCCAAGTTCGGTTCGTGACGAAGTTGAGCGCTCCGTTCAAAGTTCCGACCAACGCCATCGCCATCCCAGCCGACCTCACTCGATTTGGCCTCTCCTCTCTCGTCAACGCACTCATTCAATCCAACGGTAATTCAATTTCTTATCTCATTTTCAGACCCCACGAGCTCTTTTTTATTTTTTTGGTAATTTTAGATGATTGATGAAATTCAGTTAATCTTGATGGCGGTTGATGTTTGCAGACGCTGATTACGAGCCTGAACCGTTTGATTTTTTGATTGATGGCGAGTTCGTGCGGATGTCGCTCGAGCAGTTCCTTCTCGCCAAGGGAATCTCTGCGGTAATAATTTTGAAACGATTACAAATCCTGTTCTCTTTATCTTTATAATAGTATGATTGTCTGTACGATAGAAAGTAAGACAGCACATTGGTTTTATGTGTCTAGTAAGAGAATGCGAATTTTTTCTAGGATAAACTGTCATTTGGTGTTCATTATCATTTAGTTCCTGAAAATATTAAAATTCAAATAAATTTCTGAAGAGTAATTCGTCTGTCCCTTTAGTCCTACAGTAAGAAGACTTATTTGAAAAATTAATGTTTGTGTCTGTATGTTACACCTTGTTATTTTAATATCTAAACTTAACCAATAGTTCAGAAATATAGAAATCAATGTTATTAAACGCTGCACCAGACTGATAACCTGTCTGGTCATATAATCATGTTGGAAGTGCATCTGACCTGTGATGACGTCATCAACATGATTCATAACCTGGATAAAACCAGTGAACCGCTGGTCTGTTATCTAATGCCTCTGCAGGCTGTCCAAGATAGCTTGCTGCACCTCTAACATCTATGCTGCACATCAGTTTGCCCAGCACACGCAGCAGCTTTGCCTGCACCTGCTACTTCTTCACGCCAATCTGCTTAACATCTAGCATGCCCAGCTATTTTTGATCATTGCAAAGTTGATGTTTTAAGATAATTGGTTCCTATGAGCGTTTATTTCAATCAAATTTTTGTACAAAACTTGTTAAATGATAATGATAAACATTCTGCACTCGTGTAAATTCAATGCAGATCTCAAATTGAACAAAATTTGAGGTTTCAATCTTGGGAAACTGAATAATATACAACCTTAAGCCACTTAGTTACTTGCAAGGAAATTGTTGAAATTTCAGGGATAGAAATTGGGTATACAAACAATAATTATCAATTTCTTTTAGCATTCCTTCTTAGGAAACAATAAAAAACCATTGTTACCTTTTGCTATGGTGTAATAAAATCATAGCTAACTGTTTATAGGAATGTTCGATAACTGTTTTGAGAGATCAATTATCAGAAAGGCAGCTAACTGCTTTGAGTGGTCAATTTATAGGAAAGGATATTGGAAATTGAGTACACGAGGGCTGTGGCCCCACGAAAGGAGGAAGACCCTTCTTTACATGATGATTGGGTCAGTGCTGTTGATGGTTCTTCTTCTCGGTAAGCTTGCAAATGTGTCCTATATTTATGGAATTTTTTACAAAGACTAGTAGAGTTTCAGTCTTTCCATAACAATTTGTGCTAATGTATTCTATATTCTATATTAACTCTTATGTCTAGTAATGCTAGCAACTGTAATATGCCATTATTTGTATGAGGGACTCTTTTTATTTGACCATTGTTTGTGAAAGATTTTACCAAGGTTGGAAGGTTGACTTTAAGTCAGTGTGATTGGTTTTTATTGACTCCACTCAAGTTGTTAATGATATTTGGTGATGATGGTGCAAGTGATTGGCAGCAGTAGTTCACTTTTTGAGGTTTATTTTTGTATTGTGGTTAATGGTGGCACTGGTAGTAGTCAGATGACACAACCTAACCCTCGTTGTGAATAGGTTCTTTAAAGTTTTGGCTATTGGATAAATGATTGTTATTGTAAACCCTTTCTGTTTGTTTAACTCATGAGTTCACTGTTTGAGGTTTATATTTGCATTGTGGTTGATGGTGGCACTGGTAATAGTTAGAGGAGTTTTAGCCATTGGATTGATGAGTGTTATTGTAAAGCCCTTTTTGTTTGTTTAACTCATGTCATGACTTTGTATATTTTCACTGATATAATAATTTTGGTTCTATTTTAGTAAGTTGAATGACTTTTCACCTGAATGCCTTCACCAAGAACTATAGTTGAGTGTTACTATTTCTGCAGGTTCTTTTTGACAGGATGCTATGATGGTTTAGGGAGGTAATAAGAGTCTTACCCAGTTTTGTTCTTTTAGAATTATTGGCATATTGTATTTTTGATTACTTTCTCCATTCACTGGGCTTTCATGATTAAATTATCTTTTAGGGTATGGAAAATTGCTGGATTATGTACTCATATATTGGAGGGACATTGTGACGCAATCACCTCTGTTAGTATCATAAATCCAGAAGGTAAATGGACAAGTATATTCTCCTACATACTGCCAACTTTGTTTCTGTCTGTTTTTTTCATGGCCAGTTGTCAGTTTTTTTGCCGATTTTCAATCTATTTATTCATGGTGAAAAATGATAATTTTTTTATCTAACAGTAAAATAAAGCTTATGACTGTTTTGCCATGGCTATCAAGTTCAAAAGAGATTCTATTAATTTAGCTATTTACGTTTTGTTCTTTCCCCATTCCTTTGTAGGATTGGGATATTCTGCTTTGTTTGACATTAGTAGTATTTTACTACTTTAATTTCCTCAAAAATGCTTTCATTTATATGTGCATCAGTGCAACTGTAGTCAAAATTGAGTTTCAGTTTCTGAATGGAAAATGGTGGGGTAGGGAAGTTCCTTAACACAAATTGTAAGATTTAACTAAAATGCAAAAATATATACATGTTTGTATATCTGTATGTGCATAGAAAGTAGCATAGATAAGAAAAATAAACCATAACATGGAACGCATTCTGGTGGGGGCATGGGTGGCATGAGAGTCCAAAATATATTGGATCGAATGATCAGATGTGTTCAACCTCAATACTGACAACATTGCATCAGGCGTCATCTTTCATGTCTTGATTGGGGATAGCTCAACATTTGTGCTTGTTTCTTTGTCTAGTTCATGTATAATACTGTTAATATATGTATAGTATTATGATTGAATTGGTCCAAGATATCAATATATGTACTGTAATCAGGTCTGGAAACTGTTACGTTAGCTACTGCTTCGAAAGACCAGACATTGAGGCTATGGAAGGTAACTGAAAGACGCTGTTGAACTATGGTTGCTTATTATTTGCTTATGCTTACTGTGTTATATTTTCATGTTTGTATAAAAGCTCAATACAGACGATCCTGTAAACCATCCTATGAGGGTCAGGGCATACAAAATCTTGCGTGGTCATAAGTCTTCTGTACAGAGTGTTGCAGCGCAGACTTCTGGAGAAATGGTTTGTGTTTTCTTTTCAATTCTTTTCCACCTTTCTCTCCTTGGTTTCTGAGTAGAGTAATAGTGGTCTGTAACATTAGTCTTCCTTGTATCTCATACATAGGTTTGTTCTGCTTCTTGGGATTGCACCATCAATATATGGCAAACTAATGACTTTAATGCAGAAGATGACCTAGTGTCTAAGAAGAGAAAAATTGGAGGTCATGTTGAGGAGTCCCAATTAGAGGTTTGTAGGACTTCCTTACACCTTATTGTTTATATTGTGCTGTCGAAATTGGAATTTGCGTAGTCACATATATACTTCCTCCAAACACGTATTTTGAAGATTGTTTTAACTTTTACCTTCTAAGGGATCATTCGAGATGATACTTTGCTTGTCTTTCTCTGCATACCATAATTGATAATTGGAATAGTAAATAGTTATGGAGGATATTGCTGACTTGCTGTATCTATTTTCTACTGGTTGAATGCGAAGTATTAAGGTTACCATGCATGCTAGCACACGAGGCACAAGGCCATGAAGGAGGATGTTTTTGAAACTATTCTAGAAGAAATCTGACCATCTAATTTTGATTCAAGTTCAAACTTATGTTAAATGTATTCTAGACTTTTAAAATTTTTAATTAAACCTTGTAGATTTTGTTACAATCTTATCTGGTGTTTCCTTCCATTTTGATGTGTCACTCTTTAGTTTTCATTGACATCTGACACATAAGTTTTCATCTCTGTTGTATTGTAGGGAGAGGCTTTCACTACTCTTGTTGGCCATACACAGTGTGTATCTTCTGTAGTTTGGCCACTACGGGAGTCAATATATTCTGCATCATGGGATCATTCTATTAGGAAATGGGATGTTGAGACTGGCAAAAACATGACTGATATAGTAAGTTGAAAAGTTAATACCCCTCATTTTGTTAAAAAGTTACAGTTTTGAAGTGTTCATTTTTTTCTGTACATCCAACTTTTTGACATTTTCCATTTGATGCACTGCCATTGACTAATCATTTGTGTATTAGAACTGGTTTAGGGCACACTGGTCTTGTTCTTTCTATGAATGTCAAAACTCTCTCATTTCTTAATCAATTGTTCTGGTGGCTTGAACTTATTTGTTTCTTTGGATAAGTTTTGTCTAGTTCTTACTTTTACTTAGTTTATTAGATCTTCTACAGTTTTCCCTCAGTTGATTGTTGACCAAGATGTTTTTACTTGGTTCTGGTAGTCCAAAGTTGTCTTGTTATGAAGCAATCTTGGCTTGGGACCTTGATTGTACTTAGTTTAGGATAAACATGTTTAATCAACTGTAGTGTTTTCTTCTAAACATAGTTTTAAGTGCTCACTGTACTGGATGAATTGGAACCCTATCACGTGCATAAATCTGTGAAAAAGCCGCTTTGATTATGTCACCACCCTAGCATGCCTAAATTGCTGTCACCACTAGCCCGTCTAAGTTTTAGCCTTTGTTGGGTTGTCTAAATTGCAACCTCAAGGGGATGGTTTAATCCAAGTACATTGATTAGAGATATGATGTGTATATGTGAGATAAAAACATTACTTGACTGGTCAGTTTTGTTTGATTAAGCTAGGTTTAATTCATTGTAAGATATTTTATTAGAGCTTATTCTAGATCCATTGTTGGGCTACCTGCATTTGCCAAGCTCTAGGCAGGAAGTCCTAGGCATGATGGAGAGTGTTGGAAAGCTGCCTTGATGGTGGTCACTCCTATTGACTAGTTATATGATAAAAACAAAGAAAAGGGGGCTACAAATCTCACCTAACCGCTGATTTTTTGGGGTTGATTTTGTGTTGAAAAGCTTATCCTAAATCTTTGTTCTAAGATTTTGTGACTATGTGATGTTTTCTGGTTATCTAATTTTTTTTTTTCATTTATTGTTCTAAATTATTTTCTATACTGTGTTTGAGTAGCAACACAGTTAAAAAAATCGAAGTTTTAATTAGATTGTCTTCCATGTACAGTTCTGTGGGAAGGCTCTCAACTGCCTTGATATTGGTGGGGAAGGTTCTGCTTTGATAGTTGCTGGTGGTTCTGACCCTGTCGTTAGGATTTGGGACCCTCGTAAGCCAGGTGTGTTAAAGAAAGCTACTTGTCATTTTTTTCATACCTCCATAGTAAATCACATGCATGATGGTATCATATAAAACAATTTCTTTCTCTTCAGGAACTTCTGCTCCAGTTTTTCAGTTTGCTTCTCATACGTCTTGGGTTTCAGCTTGCAAATGGCATGACCAATCTTGGTTTCATTTACTTTCTGCATCCTATGATGGAAAAGTTATGTTGTGGGATCTGAGAACTGCGGTAATATATCTTTTTCTACCAAGGAATTTTTTCTCCTTATGTGATTATATCATATGTCCATCTTTGGGCTTTTTCCTGATTTTTCTCCATTTATCTTGCAGTGGCCTCTTTCTGTAATTGAATCACACAGTGATAAGGTATATAAAATATTCTTTCCTTGTTTTAGTTTTAGCATGAAAAATAATACCTTTCCACAACTGACAACATTTTTGTTTTATGCTCGAGAATTGCCAAAATTGTAATTAATTATCATTGTTTAACTCAGGTATTGTCTGCTGATTGGTGGAAAAGTGACAGTGTTATCAGTGGTGGCGCAGACTCCAAACTTTGCATTTCTTCAGAAATCCCTGTAAGGTAAGGGAAACTTAAAAATCATATAATGACTATTTTTTTGAGACGGTGGGATATTAGCAGATATTTCTTATATATAGGGAACGAGTCAATTTTCGGCCAATTTTGTCTAGGTTAGTCACAACTGTCAAGTGTTGTATCTGTTTTTGTGAACAAAGTCTCAAGTCTTGCCAACGCTATTGATGTAAACGCTTGAAATTATTCATATCTTGAGACTCATTTTGTACGACAAATCTTCAAACATGTTACTTGGCGCACTACAGTTTGTTTCTCATTTGGGTGATAACCAACAATAATTAGTGAAAATAGAATATACTAAAATTACAACTATGGAAAATATCGTAACTATGGCCCCCAAATTTAAGAATGGCTATGCGATTAAGTTGGAACAAATCTAAAACCAGTGCACAACACTTTCTATTTGTTTACGTTTCATTGCATAAATATGCATGCTAAGAATTTAGTCCTCCCACGAAAGGATATTTTAGAATTGATGTAGTGACAATATATAAACTCGCCTTGCTTTAAAATTTAACTTTTCTTATTAGAAGAAAAATGAAGCAATAAGGATCAAATATTAAACAACTTGGTCACAAACACTAATGCCATAGTTATCAACTATTCCAAAAGTTAAAGCCATAAACATTCCATCAATAACCAACGTTGCACGAACCACAGCACCATGTCTGTTCTGTATTTTTCTGTAGCTTGAAACTTGGTAGTTGTAGGAAATATGCCGGCCTTGCATTCATTTGGTGATGCTAATTGTAATGAGTTTTTATTTTATCTCTTTGAACGAAGTGTTTTTTATACACCCAAATTAAATTTCTATCGCCTAAATCTACCAATTATATTGGACTTTATTGCTGTACATACATGAATGATTTTCCTTAAATTTCAATTTAATTGCTTAATATTTTTGAACTTTTAGATATGATGGTAGGTAAATTTATATATTTAAAAGGCCATTTCACGCATAGAAAATATAAATACAGTATCAGTTATAAAATATTCTCAGGCAGGGCACAATTACTAAATAGAAATCAATAAACTTAAATTATATATATATATATATATATATATATATATATATATATATATATATATATATTTTAGGCACGTGACAGGTAGATACTTCAATCGTAATTAATTCGAGTTAAGTAGGATAGACTCACTTAACGAAACTGTATTTTCCAATGTGTATTTTTTACATATTAAATTCTTCTCAAGGGCAACTAAATGTAAATTGGGATAACTTCTAATTATCTTATTAAAGTTTCTACAAAAGATTATGTCATGTGTTAAACTTGAAGGTCATGAATTCTTAGCTTAGCATAATTAAAAGTACGGCATCATTCTTACAGAAAAAAACAAGAGAAACGTCACTTTAAGTTTAAACTAGTACGTAATTGAGCTGTAATATAATAGAACAAAGAAACCTGTCTTTCACATTAGGTAACACCATTACCAAGATCAACTTAACCATTAAAGAGAAACACTTTTATCTTCGAGAACAATGCATGGGTTATGACACACTCAGCTATACTTTCATGATTTCAGCCAGTTAAAAAATGTACTGATATTCTCTGAAGATCCACCCCCTTCTGCAATGCTGTTCAAGACTGTCTCTTTAAGTTGTAGACTTCTTGCTCTTATTTGTTCATCACTTATCAATTGGTCCAATTTTTTCTTAATCTCCCAGCGTGACACAAGTCCCTTTTCATCCTTGTTCAATCCCAGTCCAACCTTCAGCTCGTCACAAATATAACTTCTGTTATAAAATTGGTCAGTAAAATAAGGCCAGCACAAGAAGGGCACCCCATTAGACAAACCTTCTATGATAGAATTCCAACCACAATGGCTAACAAAATAAGCTATGGAAGGGTGGTTTAGCACCTTCAGTTGAGGGGTCCAACCAACAATCTTACCTTTACTCCCCAAGAATTCAGGAGGGTATGACATCTTATTGTCTTGTCTTACAACCCAAAGAAAAGGTCGATTGGTGAGGTCAAGTCCAAGAGCCAGTTCATTGAATTGGATTTGGTCAAAAAGAGTTAAACTACCAAAGGCAACATATAAAACTGAACCATGGGGTTGTTGATTTAGCCAATCTATGCAAGAGTGATCTTCTTCCCAGAACTGTCCCAATGACCTTGCAATTTCATTTGCATTGTCATAACTTCTCAACAATGGACCAACTGGTAGGAGCTTTGGAACACAAGATACTGCACTAGGTTCAAGTTCATATGTGGTGTTGCAAATGAACCACTTAGCCAGATTTAAATTCTGCAAACAGTGCACCAAATAATTGAATATTTTCTTCTCTGTTGTGGGATTATGGATGTTTGACCACCAAATGGCTTCTGTATCCATTGAAGGCATGCTTGGTGATATTTGAAATTTCCCTTTTTTCATTGGAACTCCTACAGTATAAAAAAATAAAATAAAATAAAAGATATTAGATCTGTTTGATTTGACAAAATACTTTTTAAGTATTCATTTCCTAACCACAAAACATTGTATACTTTGTCAACCAGGTAGCTCCTTTTTAAAGAAAACAACCAAATTAGTGACATGTGATATCCACGATATTTTTAAAAGTAATTGAATAGTTCAACCAATAAACTCTGTTTAAAGATTTAATTAGATGAAATTGAATTTAATAAAATAATATTTTTATAATATAATAAATATATAATAATTTCACTAATAATAATGATTTTTTTTTATAAAAAATATTACATTATGATTATTATTTACAAACACCGAACCGGATTCTCCATTAGATTATTAGAGCGGTTAAACATGTAGAGAGGATATACATACCATGAAAATCTATGATGGCATGTTGAATGAGCTTAGGGATGTTGTATTCCAAGGCAAACATAGTTGCTGATGCTGTCCAGCAGAGAACTCCTTTGATTCCCAGCTTCCTCCCAACTTGCAATGCCCATCCCATTGTGACATCAGCAACTATGCAAGTGATTTTGTCACCACCATTCACATGAATATCTTCAATGAGCTTCTCTAGCATGGAAGGCATGGTGCTTAGCACAGTATCACATAGCTTACCCAAATCCCTTCTGTCATCATCAGGTCCTAAACCATCAGGGATTGAGACCAGCTTTATTGTTGGTGATTCTTCAAGGCTTTCTTGCTTGGTCACTGAACTCATCACCTTCTTCTGGGTGAAGTCTGAGTTCACAAAAGTGATTTTGCATCCATGTTCAACCATCTTTTGTGAGAGGTTCATCATGGGGTTCACATGTCCTTGGACTGGAAATGGTAAAATCAATAGATTTGGAATAGTCATGTTGTTGTCTCTCTATTTTCTTTTGATTTTGAGGGAACTCAGAGTGGAAAAGATGTTTATGGTGAAGTGAGGTGAATAATGGGGTGTGAGCTGGTTGCCATTTCACTCTCATATCACATGTTATTTTATGCATGTACCTTAATGGACCTATTTATTTATTTTGCTGTCACAAGTGTAAGTCATGTCGGGTCGGGGCGGGGCAGGATTCTAAAACAAAGAAAATACTATAATTATTGTTTATATTTCTCATTTTAATCTAATAAGCAAACATATCCATTTAAATGTTGTTATTATGCATTGTGAGTATAACTGATTATTGAACAAAATAATTATTTTTAACATTTGTTAAGTTAATTTAACTTTATGCATATTGCATGTTAACAGGAATCAAATTAATATTTTAAGATCGATCTCTATTATCTGAACATAATATTACAAAAATTAGAGAGCAATGAGTAAAGTTTTTCATTTAACTATTATAGTACGTAGATTATTATTTATATTATATTATGTTATATTATGTAGTTTAAAATTTAGGTAGCTTAGTTTTTGTAATATTAGTTTAACTTTTATAGTTTGTATTATATTGTATTGTTGTATTTTTGAATTACTATCTCAATAAACTTGAATATCTGGATTGTCTGCCATTAAAATATTTTGCAGATTTTGATTATAAGACAAAACAAACTCAATATAAAAAAAAATGAACAAAATTTATGTCAGATCAGACTTCAAGAAACTTAAATTTATGTCAGATCTAGCTTCAACCGACGTAAATTTATGTTTGTTGAGCATTAGACCGACGTAAATTATGTCGGATCTAGCCACATCCGACATAAATTTACGTCTGTTGTAGCATGATCCGATATAAATTTAATCTCATTTTTAAAATGTTTGAAATCCTTTTATGTCTTATTTGTGTTTTATCCGATGTAAATAAACGTCGATATAACTGACATAAATTTACATTAGTTATAATATTCAGCATTATTTTACATCTTCTATATGACGTTAAAAAGTCAAAATAATATATATAAAAAATCCATATTACACTAATGCATTTAGGTAAGTTTCACATAAAAATAAAAATAAGATGTTATAAAGAAACATTTTTCACCTTTTTCTTTTAATAAAATGATATGCAAGAGCACATCATAAATTTTATTAAGACTAAAGAAAAGAAAATACTAACTCTAGATAAATAGGTGAAACTAATAAAAAAAATATATAAGTTGAACGAAGTTATCTAGTAGAATTTTTGTCGGATTTTTTTAATGAGAATCATACATAAACGATCATATGATAGAACAAACAAATCCAAACACAAAATTAACATAAGCACAAAATGTAAACTCTTATTCTTTTATCTCCTTGATAAACCTCTTAAGGTTCTCATAAGATGAACCTCCTTTTGCTATGTTGTTCATGACTTTCTCCTTCAACACCACAGACCTAGATTTTATATTCTCATCATCAAAGAATTGTTCTACTTTGGTTTTCAACTCCTTGCGTGACACGAGTCCACTTTGATCTTTGTCAAGCCCCAATCCAGCCTTTAACTCGTCACAAATGTGTGTTTTATTGTGAAGTTGGTCTGCAAAGTAAGGCCAACACAAGAAAGGTACCCCATTGGACAAACCCTCCATGATAGAGTTCCAACCACAATGAGTGAGAAAACATGCTACGGCAGGGTGGCTTAAAACCTTTTGTTGAGGAGCCCAACTAACTATCTTACCTTTATGACCTTGGAATTCATTAGGGTATGCCATTCTATTGTTTTCTCTTACAACCCAAAGAAAAGGTCTATTGGTGAGGTCTAGTCCAAGGGCTAGTTCATTGAATTGGTTTTGGTCAAAAAGAGTGAAACTACCAAATGCAGCATACAACACAGAACCATGAGGCTGTTGATCTAGCCAACTCATGCAAGATTGATCTTCTTCCCAGAATTGTCCCATTGATTTTGTAGCAACACTTTTGTTATTATCATCATCATTGCTTCTCAACAATGGCCCAACTGGAAGGATCTTCGGAACAAATAATAATGTTCCAGGTTCAAGTTCATGTGTGGTGTTGCAAAGCCACCATTGTGTCAAATGTAAACTTCGTGCACAATGCAGCAAATACTTGAGCACTATCTTACCCGTTGTTAGGTCACCCATATTCAACCAAAAAAAGTCTTCTGTGTCCATCTCAGGCATACTTGGTGATATCTGAATTCTCTTTTTCGCAGTTAATGTTAATTCTTCATCGAAAAACCAAAAAGAAAAATAATAATAATTAGCTTATACAACCTTGATTTAAGAGTAGATTAATAAAAATAAAAATATATATAGTTTACTAGCATATTTTTCTAAAACAATAACGTGCGTTCTAGAGAATAACATGTTATGTCAGAAAATGTTTTATAGGAGAAGGATACAATTTTATCATTATAGATACAAAAATATCCATAATAAATTAAGATGATATATTCTTACCAAAATCAGAGTCTAGGATGCCATCATCAACAAGCACAGGGACATTCTTCAGCAAGGTGAAAAGAGTTGCTGATGCAGGACACAACACAGCTCCTTTGATTCCAAGTTTCTTGCCAACATCCAAAGCCCAAGCCATGCACAAATCTGCAACAATGAAGTTGATTCTATTCTCACCTTTCAAATGAATATCCTGAATGAGCTTCTCAAGTGCTTCTGGCATGATCTTTGGAATAACCTCACACAGTTTGGCCTGATCGTTTCTGTCATCATCAGGTCCTAAACCATCAGGGATTGACACCAACTTCATCATTGATTCTTCATCAAGGCTAGAACTATCCTGTTGCTCCTCCATGCAACTCACCACTCTACTGTGGTCAAATTCTCTGTTCACAAAAATGACTTTGCATCCATTCTCAACCAACTTTTGGGAGAATGTCATCATGGGATTCACATGCCCTTGTGCTGGATATGGTAAAGCTAGCACAGTTGGAATTCTCATGTTAACAGTGTATTTGGGTTTCTATTGATTCTGATATCTGAGGCAAATTATACATGCATTCGTTCTGTTCATTTGTATATATAGGCACAACCCCTAACTATGTGTCGCAATCAATGTCGTCAATATATCATACCTGTTTAATTTCATTAAATTTGAGAAAATGCATAAAAGATAATAAATGAAGTTTTCCAAATTACAAAGAACATTTCTTAAAATTTGACCTTGTATAAAGTACTTGATGCTTTTTCAGGACTGTGTTCTGATATGCTAATAAATTTCCTGTCTGAACACTTGATAATACTTTTCCAAGACTCGTGTTCTGATTTGCTAATAAATTTCCACAGATTCATAGTAATTATAATTAATTCATTCTATTATCTTATTGATGTAAAATATAATGATAAAGTAAAATCTGATTTAATCAAATATAAATATATAAGGACTTATTAGTTGTTATATGAAGTGAAAATAAAATAAAGATAAAATAAAATAAAAACTGACTATAACTAATTTGATTAATAAAAATAAATTAGGATTCTGTCATTAGTTATAAGAATTTTTTTACGGTAAAAGCGTGAAAATCGAAAAAAAGTTAGATAGATTGAAAAAAGAAGTTAGAATTAAAAAACAAACTTTAATGGACCAAAGTTAGTCTTTTTGTTATTATGATAATATACTTTGAAAATCAATCATTTAAATATCAATCATTTAAATATACGTCCACTAGTTTTCTAGAATGAATAAAAAACTTAAAGAAAACTACAAATTAACTTTTCAAATGCTTTTCTTGTATAAAACACAAAAAATGGACAGATTTCGTCAAACTTCGTGATATATTATATTCATTATTTATGTACGGCTTACGTTTCCATTTCTCATCACAGATATGCCAAATTGTAAGAACACGATTTCGTCAATTTGCACCATCAACCATCAACTAGTCAAAAAACTAAATAAATTTATGTATCATTTAAAATTTAAATTAATAATTATTTGAAAAGAAAAGCAATTCACGTTACAGTTCGTGTTTTTGACTAATAGGATCGTGGAATATATTATTGTGAAATATTTGGAGAATCCTAAATTATCTTAAATGGTGTTTAAGGGAAAGACTTTGTGTGGTGTTAAATTGCTTGGAGACTACGTAAGATTTATAGATATTCCACAAATATGAACACAAACAATGTTTGAATGTTGACAAAGATCAAACCGATCGGCCGGTTAATCGAGAACCGGATTAGAAATTATTAATTGTTTTCAAATAATTGAAATTTTTAAATAGGATAAAACTGGAAAAATCAAAATAATATCGACAGAATTTTTGATTTCAATGATAAAAAGAAAATTTAGAAATAATTTTTTTTAGTATGATTTTTTATAAAATATATAATATTTTTTATTATTTTTTTCTTTTTTATCTCATATTAATCCCATCAACTTTAAATAATAAATATGTTATTATAATTTTAACTCACTGTTGTTAATCTCATTTTAAAAACATTTTTTCATAATTAAAAATATAATTTTACTAGAATAATTTAGAATTTATTGCAGAACTTAAAAAAAAAATTAAAAGTTATTGAATAATAAGTTTGAAAGAAAATTATTTTAAAAAAATTCTTATGATTTTTTCTACAATTATGAATAAACACAATCATAAACTCAATTTATATAAGGATTAACATCATTCACAATAAAAACTTTATTCACATCATTTTCAATAAATTTTTTTAAAACATTATGTTATAAATATTATGAGTTTTTTTTTTTGTCAATTTTTTCATTTTTATCCAATATTTTACATTGATACATGTAATATTAATAAAAATTCATTTGATGAATTTTCTATAATATACCGTCTTCCTTGTAATTTAATCATTTAGAAGGTTTTCAAAACAATTAATATGAACACAACTTTACAAAAGTTCTTTAAAATGACTTTTTGACTGTTAGAGTTTAATTCCAGCTTTAGGTTTAACTGTCAGGTTTTAGTTTGTAACCAATTATTAATGGTGTATTCTCCTATATAAGAGTACCCATAACTCAGAAATAATATACAACGATACTTTTCAGTTTATCACATATATACACAAATTAAATACATTATCCTGCAAATTATTGTGTGTGTCTATACACGTGTGAAGTATATAGAGAGAAGGAAGTGAGAGGAGGAGCTTATCTGGTGAAGCTGGTGGAGCTGCGACGGTGGACGGTGGAACCCTAGAGTGAGCTGGAGTTTTCGTGGTCACTGTGTTCTTTCGAGAACTTTCTCCCTCTTTCTCGTGTTGTTTTTGGTGCGTGTGCGAAGACGTGGGTATTATTACCCTTTAGCAGAAGAAAGAAGTGGGCCTGAGTATTGGGTCAGTTTGAACATTGGTATCAAGAGCAGGTTAAGAACCAGAGACATTTGCAGTATGGCAGGAAATGGAAATGGCAGTGGGAATCTCTTTTCTAATTTGCCATCTCTTGATGGAAAGAATTATGATCATTGGGTCATAAGGATGGAGGCTATTCTTGGTTATCAAGAACTATGGGAAGTAGTAATAGAAGGTGCAAAGGAGAAGGACGAAGTCGCAAACAAGAAGAGAGATTGCAAGGCTCGGTGTCTGTTGCATCAGTGCGTGGATTCTGTGAATTTTGAGAAGATAGCCAAGGCCAAGACAACAAAAGAATGCTGGGAAATACTGCGGAGGGCTCATGGTGGTGCGTAAAAAATCAAGAAGGTCGGGTTGCAGTCTTTAAGAAGACAATATGAATTACTTTCAATGCAGGAAACCGAAAGTGTAGCAGTACTATTTCAATAGGCTGCAGCTTGCTCGTCAATCGATTAAAAGTTGTGGAGAAACCGTGACCGAATTGAGTACAGGTAGAAAAGGTTCTCGCGTACACCGACGTAAAATTTTGATAATATAGTAGTGGCAATAGAAGAGTCTGGCAGGAATATGAAGGTCCTGTCACTGGAGGAATTACATAGTACGTTAGAAGCACACGAGTTGAAGCGCACAACGTGAAAATCTGAGAAGGCAGAGGATGAGCAGGCCTTGAAAGCCCATATCAGCAAGAAAAGTTATGGTTCTGACAGAGGAAACTGGAAGAAGAATAGAGGAGGAGGCAGATTTAACAAAGAAATAAATTCTTTGTCTCAAGATTTTGGTTCTAGAGAGAAAACAGATCAGAAGGCTCAAGGAGGACGTGGGTCTTGGAGAGACAGAGGAGGAAAGAAGAGTGTTGATATGCGGAAAATTCAGTGCTACAATTGTGAGAAATGGGGTCATTATGCAGCAGACTGCTGGCACGGAAAAGGAAGACAGAAAAGGGGCCCAGTTGATGTAGAGGCAAAAGTAGCACAAGATGATTCAGAGGAGGAGCCTGTGGTGCTTATGGTAACGACCAGTGAAGAAGAATTTGGTGTTGAAACTTGGTTTCTTGACACTGGATGTTCCAATCATATGACTGGGCACAAAGAATGGATGTCCAACATAGATACCAGCAGATCCAGCAAGATAAAGCTAGCAGATGACAATGTCATAAAGGCTGAAGGAGTTGGGAATGTGGTAATTAAGAAAGATGGCAAAGAAGTCATAGTGATAGAGGATGTGTTATATGTGCCAGGGATGAAATGCAATCTATTGAGCGTAGGACAGCTGGTGCATAAAGGTTTTTCAGTGTCAATGAAGGAGGAAATGTTGAGAGTTTATGATGCTAAGAAAAGGCTTGTACTCAAATCTCCTTTGGCAAAGAATAGGACATTTCAGACAAGGCTTTTCTTGACAGAAAATCAATGTTTAACAGCAACTACGACAGAGGAAGTGAGTTGGTTGTGGCATAGTAGGTATGGACACTTAAATTTTACCAGTTTGAAGAAGTTGGCTGATAAAGGGATGGTGACTGGACTGCCTGAGACATTAGCTGTACCAGGAAAGGTGTGTGAAGGGTGTTTGGTGGGAAAACAACCTAGAAATGCCTTCAAAACACATATGCACATGAGGGCAAAGGAGGTATTGCAGGTAGTTTATTCTGATGTATGCGAACCATTTGAGGAGTTATCACTTGGACAAAATAAATATTTTGTCACATTTGTTGATGAGTACAACCGAATGATTTGGTTGTATTTGATCAAAGTCAGATCAGAGGTGTTCTCTGTTTTCAAGAAATTTAAAATGATGACAAAAAAACAAAGTGGGAAGATGATTCAGATCTTGAGAACAGATGGAGGAAAGGAATATTTGTCAAATGACTTTGAAGATTACTGTAGAGAGAATGGTGTGCAACATGAAGTCATAACACCATATACTCCACAACATAATGGGTTGGCAGAAAGAAGGAATAAAATGATACTTAACATGGCCAGGAGTATGATAAAACAAAAACAGTTGCCTCATTCACTATGGGGGGAAGCTGTCTTAACAACTGTCTATTTGCTAAACAAGTGTCCTACACAAAAGCTGGAAGATAAAGTTCCAGAGGAGGTTTGGTGTGGTAATAGGCCAGGGGTTAAGCATTTGAAGATATTTGGCTCAAAATGCTACAAACATGTTCCAAATGTTAAAAGGATAAAACTGGCAGATAAAAGTGAGGCTATGATTTTTGTGGGTTATCACTCCACAGGAGCTTATAGGTTATACAATCCTGTTTCCAAATAGATTTGTATCAGCAGGGATGTTGTGGTAAGTGAAGAAGAATCCTGGGATTGGAATGAAAGACAAAGGGAAGGCAAGCAAGCTAGAGGGTTCTTTGAAGAAGAGGAAGAAGTTGATACAGCAGGAGAAAATACGATAGAACCCCAGTCTCAAAGAGTTGTGAGGCAGAGAAGACCACTACGAACTCTGGTGGATTTTGAAGTATATCCAGATGATGCTGTGACAAGTGAGGGAGACTTGGTGCATTTTGCACTAATGGCAGAAGCTGAACCATTAGATCATGATGAAGCCATGAAACAAGAATTATGGAAGAAAGCCATGTTAGAAGAATTAAACTCCATTGAGAGGACAAACACCTGGGAACTGACTGACTTACCCAGTAACAAAAAACCCATTGATCTGAAATGGGTTTTCAAACTAAAGGTGAATCCAAATGGCAGTATTAACAAAAGGAAGGCAAGGCTAGTTGTGAGAGGATTTTTACAAAAGAAAGGGCTGGACTACACAAAAGTATTTGCTCCTGTGGCCAGAATTGAGACAATAAGGATGGTAGTAGCCTTGACAAATAGGAGAAAGTGGCTTTTATTTCAGATGGATGTCAAATCTGCATTCCTAAATGGCCCGCTTGAAGAAGAGGTTTATGTTACATAACCTCCTGGATTTGTGAAGAAAGGTGTTGAGCATAAGGTATATCGGCTGAGGAAGGCTCTCTATGGCCTTAAACAGGCACCCAGGGCCTGGAACAGAAGAATAAATGCTTTTATGTTAAGCCAAGAGTTTAAGAAATGTTCAGTGGAACATGGAGTATATGTGAAGTATGGCAGAGGGACTAATCTAGTCTTAATGTGTATATATGTGGATGACTTGCTCATTACAGGAAGCAATATTGACGAGATAGAAGAATTTAAGAAGTTGTTAATGACAGAATTTGAAATGACTAATTTAGGGAGACTAAAATACTTCCTAGGCATGGAGTTTGTGGAGACTGAGAGAGGATTGATTCTACATCAGAGGAAGTATGCTGTGGAGATCCTAACAAAGTATGAAATGATGGATCGTAACATAGCAAGTAACACCAACCGAGGGAAAAGTTATAGTAACTCGAAGATGGAGAAAGTGAGGTAGATGGTACTCGTACAAACAGGTGGTTGGGTCTCTTAGGTACCTCTCGCACAATGAGGCCGGATATCTCGCTTTGCAGTAGGCATCCTAAGTAGATTCATGCAGCAACCTAAGCAGAAACATATGCTAGCAGCCAAAAGGGTCATGAGATATGTAAAGGGAACATTAGATTTTGGAGTATTATTTCCAAAATCTAAAGAAATACAGACAAAGTTGGTTGGTTATTCTGATATAGACTGGTGTGGAGATAGTGTGGATAGAAGAAGTACTACAGGTTGTGTGTTTATGTTTATGGGAGCACCAATTTCTTGGTGGAGCAAGAAACAATCTGTGGTGGCTCTATCTACATGTGAAACTGAATATATAGCGGGATCAAGTGCAGCTTGTCAAGCTATATGGTTAAACTCAGTGATGACAGAGATAGGAGTTGAATTGGAACAACCTATTGAGCTGCTTGTTGATAACAAGTCAGCTATAAATCTTGCAAATAATCCGGTTTCACATGGCAGAAGCAAGCACATTGAGACTCGCTTCCATTACATACGAGATCAAGTTAACAATGGGAAGTTGAAACTGGTTTACTGTCCTACACAACTCCAGCTAGCTGATATCCTAACCAAACCTTTGAAGAAGGAGAAGTTCAAGATAATCAGAGAAAAACTAGGAATTTTGAGTATTGATACTGGAATTAAGGGGGGATGTTAGAATTTAATTCCAGCTTTAGGTTTAACTGTCAGGTTTTAGTTTGTAACCAACTATTAATGGTGTATTCTCCTATATAAGAGTACCCATAACTCAGAAATAATATACAACGATACTTTTCAGTTTATCACATATATACACAAATTAAACACATTATCCTGCAAATTATTGTGTGTGTCTATACACGTGTGAAGTATATAGAGAGAAGGAAGTGAGAGGAGGATCTTATCTGGTGAAGCTGGTGGACCTGCGACGGTGGAACCCTTGAGTGAGCTGGAATTTTCGTGGTCACTGTGTTCTTTCGAGAACTTTCTCCCTCTTTCTCATGTTGTTTTTGGTGCGTGTGCGAAGACGTGGGTATTATTACCCTTTAGCAGAAGAAAGAAGTGGGCCTGAGTATTGGGCCAGTTTGAACATTGACCATGACTTTCTAGCCGCGATTAATATAATTGTCATCCAAAATAATATTATTTGATGATATTTTAAACTATTGTTTTGTCTTCATTTGACGATATTTTAAACTGTTATTCTGTCTTCGTATGCATGTAGCGATGGTCATTTGCAGAATATCCTCCCATAAGAAGAAAACATTCTAGTTTACAAAAATCTAAGAGTTATTGGACATTTATAAAAATATTTTCTATTATATTGGTAATTTTACAACCTAGCTTTAAATGAATTAACCTAGGTTTATTTGAACTAAATACATGTTCTAAGTTAGTAGTGAGAGAATAATATCTATGTGTAACCAAGTAATTAATTATAACGAAATTTTAAAGAGTTGTTAGAAAATATTTGATAATGAATTGATATAAAAATCAAGTATTTTTATTTATTACTTTACTCAAATTGCTTATTGTTGGTGGAAAAAAATCGAAAATCGAAAGAAGAAAATTCGATGACAGTATGTTGGGAAAAAATCGAGAATCTGAATCGAAAATCGAAAGAAGAAAATTCGATGACAGTATATTGGGGAAAATCGAGAATCTGAATCGAAAATCGAAAAAAGAAATTTGATGACAATACGTTAGGGAAAATTGAGAATCTAGATCGAAAATGGATAAGAGAAATTCGATGACCTTGTACTTGGGAAAATTGAGAATCTGAATCGAGAGAAGACAGAGAAAATTCGATGAACATGATTGGGAAGTAAAAAATCGATAATAGGTATTGAGTATGAGGCTAAGAGGGAAGTTAGAAGCAGTTTTAATACTCGATGGTTTAGGTCGAGATCGAGGGAACAGTTAAAATGCACATGAAACATGGGAAGCGGTTTTCCAAATCGTGGCTAAGTTGGAAATCGAGGAACAGTTAACGCGCACATGGAACATGGGAAACAGTTTTTTAACCGTGGTTAAGTTGGAAATCGATGAACGGTTAACGCGCACATGGAACATAGGAAGCGGTTTTTAAACCATGGCTAAGGTGGAAATCGAAGGACAGTTAGCGTGCACATGAAACGTGGTAGCGGTTTCTAAACCACTCTTAGGAGATTACGTTGAAACATGCCTATAAATAGAGCGAAACATGAAGACGGAAGGAGAAATTGGCAGAGAGAACAAAAACACAAGTGAACGAGTCTACCAGAGAACGACGAATCATGAAGTTTCTGGCGATCTGGATTTCCATTTTCATTGACTATTGTTACCGTTTTCTTTACTTTCCCTGGTAATTTATCTTTAATGCAATTTAATTTTACGTGTCTTTACTTTCATGTTATTTCATGTTCATTGTCATTTACACTTATGCAATTTAAAGATTCTGCATTTACACTTATGGCATTTTAAGATTCTGCATTTACGCTTTCTGCATTACATCTTTGTCTCGATAGTTTTTAATGTTTTCTTTACTTTCTCAGTAATTTATCTACTTGTACGTTTAATTTACCTTCCAGTGATGTCAATTACTTTTATGCGCACTTTAATTTATGTCATTTACTCTTAGTGTAATTTAATTTTATATATTACTTTGTTGCCTTGATGTTCTTTTACTGCTTTCTTTAATTCTGATAAATTTCATATTCTCGAATCTTTTAATAAAAAATACAAAAAGAGTACTTTCGATTTCAATATGTATACTTCATCACGCTTTCCGTGTTTCTAATATACGTGCTTGGTTTCATCTAATTTGCTCGATATTTCTATATTCTCGATTTACATACATTTTTTGATTAAAAAACTATTTGCTAGCTTAAATAAAAAGAATTTACGTGGTTAAAATTTGGTTAAAACCTAAGTCTTTAGAACATCGAAAACAACCAAAATTTTCACCAGAAACACTTATTAAATAATTATTTTGAAAAATAGTTTTATTGATTATAAACTTTCTCAAAACAGGTTTCAGATTGAATTTTTAATTATGTGTCTAAAAAAATTTAAATTAATAAGTTTATTATGTGTCTAAAAAGTTTAAATTAATAAGTTTATTTTATTTCACTTAATTAAAATGAAGATGGGTTTTCTAGGTCACTTGAGAGAGTGGATTTTCACATCTTTTAGAGGAGAAAAAAAAACAACTTTTTGAGATATTTATCGAGTCTTCTTAATATTAAATTACGATTTCTAATTGAAATTTGACAAAAGATTTGCAACATTAAATTCTTTATTTTGAGAGTTATAATTGGCAATTAGAAATTTGTAATTGATAAATCAGTTTTCCATTGGTCTTATATCCTTAGGTTTTACTTTATACATAGACAGTATGTAAATTTGATTTAACTTTCTTGTTTAATTTTAGCAAAGTTGGATTGATTATCTTATTCTCATGAGTTTCTACTTCTTATACTCTGAGAACATTTTTCCATATTAAAAATATAAGAGAAAAAAATATTAGTATTCTCTTATGATTATTTTTATTATTTTTTATCGATGTTGTTCCTCCTAAATTCTTAAAAGTTTTAAAAGTTATTTTAGCTCCCTATTTTAATATTTAATATTTTTTATTGATGTAATTATTTTTTTATCCTACTATATATTTAAATTTTATTGCTATCCATTACACAATTTTTTTTAATTCTATCCAAACCCTCCTTTTGTAACTAAGATGTAAGTTTAATAATTACATCTTCACAAGTTTTCCCAAATATTTTATAAAAGAATGTTAATTAATTAATTAAAATTAAAATCTATAGGAGATACTCTGACAAGGGTCATACAATACAAAGCGATGTCAAATGAAATAAAGAAAAACTACATAATAACATTAACATCGTGTTATATATTGACTTTAAACCAAGATCGCGATTAAAATGATAAACCAAGCGAAAAATTTCAAGCCCTGTAAAATATACTAAAGTTTTGCTCGAGTTTATAATGGTCATCTTCTGTTTTAGAAACCTTGTTCATATATTATTTCATCGAAACATATGTCTGATTTTTTTTAGCTATAACATCAAATAAGATGTATATGCATAAGATTAAATGTCAATCCTTACTCATTAAGCCACTTGATAAACCTATTAAGGTTCTCTAAAGATCGACCTCCTTTGACTATGTTGTTCATCACTTTCTCCTTCAATTCAAGAGACCTTGATTTTATGTTCTCATCCCTGAGGAGTTGCTCCACTTTCAATTTTATCTCCTTGCCAGACACGACTCCATTTTGGTCTTTGTCCAATCCCAACCCAACCATCACCTCATCACAGATATATGTTTTGTTTTGGATTTGGTCTCCAAAGATTGGCCAACACAAGAAAGGCACCCCATTGGACAAACCTTCCATGGTAGAGTTCCAACCACAGTGGGTAACAAAACATGCTATGGCAGGGTGGTTTAGCACCTTTTGTTGAGGTGCCCATTCAACTATCTTACCATTATGCCCTCTGAATTCATCAGGGTATGCCATCTTATTGTCTTCTCTCACAACCCAAAGAAAAGGTCTATTGGTGAGGTCTAGTCCAATGGTTAGTTCATTGAATTGGTTTTGGTCAAAAAAAGTGAGACTACCAAATGCAACATACATGACAGAACAATGAGGTTGTTGATCAAGCCAACTCATGCAAGAGAGATCTTCTTCCCAGTATTGTCCAATTGATTTTGTGTTACCACATTTATTGCCATAACTTCTTAATAATGGACCAATTGGAAGGAGCTTAGGAGCAAAGGATAATGGACCGGGTTCAAGTTCTTGTGTGGTGTTGCAAAGCCAATGTTCTGTCAAATTTAAACTTTGACAACAGTGTACCAAATACTGAAATAGAACCTTATTAGTCATTGTGTCACCCATATTCAACCAAAAAAAATCTCTGGTGTCGATCTCAGCCATACTTGGAGATATTTGAATTGTCTTTTTTGTTGTTAATCTAGATCCTGCAATATGGAAAACATAAACAAACAAGTAGATGTAATATTAATAGACCCCTATATTTAAGTTATATATATTATGTGTTTCTTCTTGGCCTCAACATTGATACACAAAATTTTTGATTCAATGTTTAATGTTTCTCCTACATACGTATTTTATATACTGCTAAAATTTTAATTTGATAATTTCATAAATCAATAGAAAGAGTAGTCATTTTCAAAAAAGTATTCTTTCTACAAAATTGTAAGATAGCATTTTATCCGAGATTAAGAAAATCAAATGACGACTATGCTTCCAAACTTGAGAATAAAATCAAATACCATTCGGAAAGCCACCTTAATATCTGATCTAATAAACTTAGAAAAATAGATGCAGAAAAAAAAAAAAAAAAGCAAACTTAAAATCAATTGATCATTTTTCTTCACTAAAACATGTTTAAACGGTCTTTTCACCAAGGCTTATCAAGAACTTTATCTAAACACTATATATAATAAAGTATGATACGACAACATTCTTACCATCAGAATCTATGATCCCATCATCAATAAGAGAGGGTACGTTGTAAAGCAAGGCAAATACTGCAGCTGATGCAGGCCACACTATTGCTCCCTTGATTCCTAATTTCTTCCCAACATCCAAAGCCCAACCCATGCACAAATCTGCAACAATGAAGCTGATTTTGTCCTCACCTTTCAAATGAACATCCTCTATGAACTTCTCAAGTGCTTCTGGCATGAAGTTCTGCATAGAGTCAAACAGTTTGCGCAAATCCTTTCTGTCATCATCAGATTCTAACCCATCAGGGATTGACACCAACTTCAGCCCTGATTCTTCATCAAGGTTGCTGTTATCTTCTTGCTCTGCTATGGAACTCACCACTCTCTTGTGGTCGAATTCAGAGTTCACGAACAGCACTTTGCATCCATTCTCAACCAACTTCTGTGAGAGGATGATCAAGGGATTCACGTGTCCTTGTGCTGGATAAGGTAACACTAGCACAGTTGGAATGTTGCTCATGTTCTTGTTAGGTTTCTGTTGTTTCTGAGACCTTTGATTATTAAGTGTATACTTTACTAGTTTTTTTAGGTTTCAAAAATAAAAATTTGAGTAAATTATATTAATTTTCTAAAAGAAAAATATTGATAGACAACTTTTATTTAAATAATCAACCAACAATTTAATTTATTAATAAATAATCATTTTAATTTTATTTTAATTATATCACTCTATTAATATAATATTAAAATTATATAAATAATATATTCTGAAAAGAGATATTAGTATATTATTATTAAAAATATAAAATGAATTAATCTGTTCTGGTTCTCCTATTTTTAAGTCTTAAAAAAATAGAACGAAACTGATGTGATGACGGATGAGTCCGTAAATAATTTATTTTATATATAATTTTTTATATATATTTTGTTCAAATATATATACATAATTTTTAAATTTTTATTTATTAATTAATATTTTTATCATATAAATTTAAAAAGATTATATTTATATATTAAAATAACTAATTATAATTAATAATTTAAATTATAATATTATAATATATTTATATATTATAATAAATTTTTAATTATAATTTTTTTATTTAATTTTAATATATAAATATATTTTTTTAAACAAAAAGTTTATCTCACCTAATTTTTAATTTATTTAATTAATAAATTACACAAAAACGAATTAAATATATCAACCCACCCATAGGAATCTGTCGGCGCTTGCAACCAAAAGTGCTTTGACTGTTTCTCAGTATGTCGGAGCTTCCAATAAGAACCAAAAAGTACATGACCTAAATGATAGGTTTTCTGAAATCATTTGGGTTCCTATAAGAATTTTTTTTCTTTTCCTTTTCCTATTTTAAAATATCTTATAATATTAATATTTAAATTTTCATTGATATATTTTATAAAAAATAACATCCATATAATTGTTTTATTCATAATTATTTTGGAGTCAAATAAAAACATAACAGCTATTTTAATTAATACATATCAGTAAACCGATCAACCTACATATTATAATATGTATTTGAAAGGATATATAAATATTAAATATTGTTTTAATATAATTATAACAAGTTATAAATATTAAAATACAAAAGTTTATATCAAGTGTGTCAAAATATATTACCGTTAAAAATAGGTTAAATCAATTTAGTTCATTTTCTATGAGCTAATATTAGATAATTAGTTCATCTTCTTCTTTTTTTTCATTTTTTTTAATTATCAAAATATGAAGATTAAGTACATTAACTTATTAATATATATATATATATATATATATATATATATATATATATATATATAGAGAGAGAGAGAGAGAGAGAGAGAGAGAGAGAGAGATATGAGAGATAGATAAATAGATTAAATTGGATGATAAATGATTATAGTTTTTTTAGTATTTTTTTCATATACACTTTAAAAAATAGATATTAATCCAAACTCATTCCTTGTCTACCTTAATATATTTTTTTTAATTTCCAATAAAAAAGTGGCTGAATGATCTTTATGGTATTTTAAAATGTATATTTTTTATAGTACGTTTTGGATATTAATAATGAAATTAATAATCACTAAAAAGTGTTCTTTATCTTTTTAATTTCGTTATTTATATTTTATGATAATATTTACAAATTAAATTATATTTTAATAATATGTAAGTATTTACTTAATTTGACTAAATTATATTTTTATGATAATATTTAGAAACTAAACAATGTTTTAATTATAACATGTAAGCATTTATTTAAAATAAAAAATGATTATAAGAGATTGAAATTAATATATATATATATATATATATATATATATATATATATATATATATATATATATATATATATATATATATATATACTACCAATTCACCATTTATAATTTAATCACATTATTAACCACATTATGGTATTAGTATTAAGTTTAGATCTCTTTTAACTATTAAATGATCATTTTAATACTATATTATATTTTATGTAATAAAAGCAAAACCAATAATGTATTAAAATTGTAAAATAATATAAATGATTAAACTTGAGAAAAAAATATAAAAAATAATGTATGTCTATTTATAATTTAAAAATTAATTTTAATTTATTTATAAAATATGTTTGATTAAATTAAAATATTTAAATAAATAAATAAATAAAATTATAAATTTGTTGAGAGTGTTTTTTGCCAGTTTTTACCCTCCATCATTTTCTTCGAAGATCGTATTGTTTAAATGTAAAAGTTGTTAAGTCTTACATTAAGTTCACCTATCCTTCAAAAAAGTTAAATAGTACAATTATTATTGATTAAATTTTGATTTTAATATCATATAAGTTGTTAAATTAATTTATTAACTTATATCTATTTGATAATTATTTGATGAATTTTTATTAAATTTAATTTTATTAGTAACAAAATATATTTTTGAGTATTTAAAATCTTAGTTTTAATGAGGTTTAAAATTTTGTAATTTTTATTAACTTCACTTTTACTTTGGATTACAAATGTCTTGTTTCATCTTATTTTATATCTTCAATCAAACTATAAAATAAGTGAGCATAAAATATTTTAAATAAAGGTTAGAATGAATGTCACGTGAATTAATATGGTTTAAATATATGTTAAATTATTTTATATATTATCGATTAATTTTGTGTTGTATTTTTATATGGTATCAAATATAAAACATAACTTTTTTTTTAATTATTATCTTGGATCAAAAGTTACTTTTTTAGTGTGGGTCAAAAATATCTCTTGTTGTTTGTTTTAAGTCGAAAAGTTGCCTTAAAAATACTTTTTATTTGATCCAAAAAATATCTCTTGTTGTTTGTTTTAGGTCGAAAAGTTGCCTTAAAAATACTTTTTATTTGATCCGACAAACTTTATTGGAGGTGTCGTGTTGAAAATTTCACATAGTGTGTCCTATACATAATTTAAAGACTTGTTAGACTACTTCACGTATTGTCAATTCATTTTATGTTGAAATCTTAATATGATATATTTTTATAATTTTAATTAATGTAACAGTTGAAAAGTAATATGATATTAAAAATATAATACATATCAATATAAAAAATTATATTATTATAATGTTTAAATAAAAAATATATTTTATGTAATATAAAATATTATTAAACTAAAAATAAAACACTTTTTATGAGGTTAGCTACTAACTCGCTTTAGAAGGTGTTTTATAATAAAATAATTTATAGAATTATTCATTATTAATCAATTTAACATTTGAATTTAGAATGAGCAGTTAAATTGGTTTCCAAAAATAAAAAATGAAAAAGTTACATTAAAATTTTAAAAATATTCTTGAAAAATAGTTTTAATGATGAGAGTCTAAGTATCATATTTTTGTTTATAAAAATAATGTTAGTAACTATAAACTTAATCCTTGTACAATAAAAATTAAATTGTAAAAAACACATTTTATTATTTTTTTTATCATCTAAAACAAAATTTAAGGCAACACCATCGGTAGTTCTTGATATAGTCCAACATTTGAGAGCCTAAAATTACACCATACAGTTGTAAGTACATAAGTGTTACCAAATATAAGGTAAGGGATTCCCTTTTTTCACAAGATAGACACCTGTCAATATATTTGGTCTTTATTGATTTGAACATCAAAGTGTTTTTCTTGTAGGTTCCCTCTTGAATGACAACAATGCAAATTCCTATTAGTAGCTATTAACTACTTCACCAAATGGATAGAAACCGAGCCTATCGCCAAGATAACTGCCCAATAGGTCCAACGTTTTGTATGACGAAATATAGTTTGTAGGTTTGGAGTCCCTCATGCCATCATTACGGACAACGACAAGCAGTTCATAGATAAAGGTTTAGCCAAATTCTACATGGGCTTGCGCATCACTCATAAGGTTAGCTCCGTTGAACACCCCCACACTAACGACAAGCGGAATCGACCAATAAAATAATCATACTCAAATTAAAGAAGAGGATAGGGGAAGTAAAAAGAAAGTGGACCGATGAACTCATGGAAGTATTATCGGCATATCGGTGTACCCCTCAATCTTCGACGGGAGAGACCCCAAACAACCTTATGTTTAGAATGGACTCTATGATCTCGGTGCATATTGGAGAAGGATCCTTGTAGCGCGAGTTATGGAGTTGGATATGGTCGATGAAGGAAGAAGTCAAGTGGCTATCTGGGAAGCAGCATCCAAGCAACGGATGACACGAAGATACAACTCCAAGGTTCAACCAAGAAGTTTCCGGGAGGGAGATTTGGTGCTCCTTTTGAGAAGTGTTGTGAGGAGAAGCCTGGCAGAAGAAAAGTTCTCATCTAATTGGGAGGGCCCCTACAAGGTAACAAAGGCACTTGAAAATGGAGCATACCGCCAAGCAGAGCTATCCAGTAGAACAATACTATGCACGTGACATGCCTCCCTCCTTAAATTCTATTTTAGTTAAGAATGTATGTTTATCGACATGTACTCTTTCCTACCACCAACATTTTTTCATGAGAGGACTTTGGTTGAAGAGGGTTTAATGAGGCAAAGCTAAATCAATGATGATCATTTTCACTAATAACACATCTCGGTCAAGGACTATTCACTTCCGAGTGATCCCTCCCGAATACAATATGATCAAGGATGTTTTGTTCGCCCCCTGAACAATCCCTCTCAGAACTATAAACACTAATTTACAACCCGATTGACATTTAATAAAGTATAAGCGAAGAGTCATGAATTATAAACGCTACTTAACAACCTGGTCAACATTTAACAAAATGAAAGCGAATAATAATGGACAAATAAAAAGCCGAAAACTTCCATTAACAAATGACATGTACAAAACGCAAAAAGCCTGCTAGCAAACATGGTGATATACAATGGTGAATCTTGACCATTGATCTTGGAAGAACCAAATAATATATTATTAATAAATAATAAATAAATATAAAAGGAAGAAAGAATATAAAATGGTGAAAAGATAAAATTGTAGATATATACTTAAATATATTAAATGATCGTTAAGTTTGAAGGAAAC